AAATCTATATGCTTTCTTAACATTTTTTCTAACCAAGTATGATTTTTTGTCCAATTTTTTTTTTTTTTTTTTTGCTTTAGGGCACATCCACCAAAGATGATAGTACATGCCTGGTTTTTGCCTACATTTCCAACAATTGCTAGACATATTTTTAAACATTTTTGCTAGTCTGGCTGGTGATAGGTGCCATCTATAATATTTTCTTTATATGCAGTTGCCATTGTTATTTTATAGTTTCTTTCCCAAATATTTTGCCAATTTTCTAACTCTGTATTGTGCCCCAATGTTTTTAGCCTATTTTATCATTGTTTCTTTTACCTGTTCATCTTCCATCTTTAAGCTTAACAAAAATGTATACAATTACTTAATCAAATTTTTGAAGAGCCAAATCAAAGTGTACAGATAGCAAAAAGAAATTATGTCTGGAAACTGATTAAGAATATCAAACATAGAGAAGTGTAAAATTATCCAGCTAATTTGATGTTAATGAACTTAAAACCCCCAAAGACTTCTAATTTTCATAATTACCATGTGATTGAAAATTAACCTTAGCTGTAAAGGCCTTGTCTCTACACGTCAAAGAACTATATGTACCCTTACCAGATCATCTTGCTCGTTTTCCAACTCACTTTTAGGCATCAGCAACTTCTGCTATTCTAAGCGTTGCAGCTGAACTACAACTCCCAGCATTATTCCCCATTGGCAGTGCTTCCTAAAATGCTTGGAGTCACAGATCAGCAGTAACAGAAAGACTATACTGCTGTTTATCCCTGTCAAATTCTCTGGTCATTTAGGTGTTCAGAAGGACACGTTCATTCTGTGAAATGCTTGGTTAAATTATAGTAGTTCTAGTTCCCCCAAACAATCAATTTGTGTTCTAAATTTAAATTGCATGAAACGGTTCTGTTTTTAATTGCATCTATCTGCAAATGAAGTGTTGAACTTTCTTTGAATTCTGTACAATTTGTAAACCATTTACGTACCTATGACATCTTTGTTCCAAACTTGGGACTTGCATAAATTTTCTGTCAAGGCAGAAAACAAAGAAGAAAAAGAGAATTCTGGTTGCATTTACTGAAAACCTTCCAGATTCAGCCATAGTTTCATTCCATACAGCATTAACCTTGTGAACTCTCAAGCTTTCTTCTTCCGTTATATATTCAAGATGGACAGTATTTAATATTTATTTGCTATGTATATATAGGGGTATGGGTCTAAAATATGTTGTACATAGTATGTTTTAGGTGTGTGTCGTGTATGTGTTTCACTTTGAGAGCGGGCAACTAAATTTCATTTTTGATGTATGCCATTGTGCCCACAGTAAAAAAAAATGACAGTAAAAGTTATCTTATCTTATCTTAAAATGCTTGAGCATTTTTCCAGAAAATCTAAGTTGCAGATGGTGTTTGGAACATCTTTATGAATTTCAGAAGATAACCTTGACATTAAAATACTGCATGTTTTGTCTGGCCGTATTCTTTTTAAAAATTATAGTGGCATTACAGTTATTACATTAGTCTGTCATTTCACTTTACATTGAATAGTCTCTTAAATATATCCATGAGATAAATATAGGATGTATTTTGGCAGACTTATTCCGTTTACTTGTGAATGTTTTTTATTCTACGACCCCAATGTGCTATCTTCAGTTCAGGGATCAATTCAAAGTTAATGATTACATCTGAACCATAAAATGATCATTTCTCTTATTATAATTGAAAAATAAGTTTTAAAACCTGCAGGATCAGTATTAGGTGCTTCATAATATCAGGAAATAATGCATACTCTAAAATGTGTATTGGGTAATTTGTGTCAGTATTTAAATAGAGAGCTTCTATTATTTTTTTTACTTCTATTTGTATTTTTATTAATAAAAATTAAGTGCCAGGTTTAAATCTTATGAAAAACTATAGGGAAGATGAAAAATATTGTGATAATCAGAAAGTGGGTATTTTCCTGTTTAGGAAGATTTATATACCCCTATTTATACATTTCATAAATACATCAGTCTATACATGCAATAAATAGCTGTTGTAGTCTTTCACCAGAAAATTACCCAACAAACGTTTTGAAGTCTGTTATTTCCTATGCAATAGGCTGGGGTGACCATGAGTGGCTGGCTCAAAGTCCCACAATGAGCTTTCATTGCTTAGTGTGGACTAGAACTCTGCTCTCTTCCTGATCCTAGCCCAAAATCTTAACCACTTACACTATACTGGCTAGCTTATTTATTTATTTGTAACTATTTAAACCACAGTTTCGTTGTTAAAAACCAAATGCCAGACAGGGGAATTCCACAGTTACATGTTATTTCTTCAGTTCGCCAAAGAGCAATAAACTGTGAATGCTGTAATGAAACCGGCAGGCTCTTTGCCACAGGGACAATTAGGAAGTAGCTGCTGAAGATTTGAGAATTTCATCTGAGATATGTGTTAGTCATTGTTTAATGATATATTCTTAATTGTGTTTAGAGAAAATTTTTCTGCCTCTTTAATATTTCACATGTGGGTATATATCATATGGCGCTAATTAAGAACTAATACTTGGAACTGAGTAAACGAGGCCAAGGGACTATACTATAGCATACTTGGAAAGAAATGTACAATAAAATCTTAAAAAACAGCTACTAGTTTAGCCTATTATGGCCACTGGTAGTTAAGATTCCATGGAGAGTATCTCATCTGAAAATAAGCTTCATGTCACACCAACCCATGGTTTGTTTTATCTTGGCTTATTCAATAAACTACAGTTTGCTGGGTCCACCACAGAATGTCATGCTAAAGTTGAATAAACCCAATTATGGTGTAGCTTGTATGAACCAGGCTACTTTTCCAGTGCACAGATTGTGCTGCATCCTCTGGTGAGGTTTTTCTTAACCGTTTCCCTCAATTTTAAGTGAAGGATTGTAACATTTAGGAGGTATTATTTTACACCAGTTATCTGAAGGAAAAATTCCAAACATCAGAAGAAAAGTAGTGAAATAATTTGCAAATTTTGGAGAACAGATATCCTCCCGGTATGTTTTAAGCAATTTTTTTTTGTCTATCTGTATGTGATAGGCAAAAAAAAAAAGGGGGGGGGGAGGAATTAGTAAAATCATCCGAAAGATGTCTCCAGACTAGGGAAGTGAAAATATCTTGGGAGTGCCAGATTTGTTGTTGGTGTTAATTTGTTGCTCGTGTTGGTATTCAGAAACATACACCAAGAGATCATTTGATATTTCTTTAATAATGTAACAACTAATATCAAATATTAGTTGTATTATGCTGCCATAATACTGAAATCTGAAATTGCTGGAATGGGCTAGAAGATTTCTATTTTATTCCTCTCTGAATCTCATTCATGGATAGAAGTGACTTATGATCATCTTTACTAATTTAATTTCCTGCTAGCATAAAGATCTGGAATTTGCAAAACCTAACCATAAATTTGGTTATCTTATACCCAGTGAGTTGGTGTAATTCAACGTTTCAAAATGCTAATCTGCTCAAGGGCCAACCTCAACACTGAATTTAGATATATCTGGTGGTATCTAAGAAGTCACTGTTCTAGTGAAATCTGAGGACTACGTTCATATTTTATAATTAGCCAGTAATTTGAAATTACCCAGTAACCAAAAGGATTAATTCCAAAAGTAGGAGACTGTAGTTTTGTGAATTTGGAAAAGTGCTGTGAGTGGGACCTGATGCTGCAAAATATTTTTTTAAAGAAGCAGTAATATAACCTTTCACAAAATATGCACAAAGATGGGATTTTTATTTTTCTGTGTATGATATGCTTAGACAGGATCAGTCTAATTCTTGAGAAGAATGATGAGTCATACTGAAATATATGTATGGCATAATACCATAAAGTAGCTGTAGTCATCTTCTTTGCTTATCAAATCTGCCTTCCATGGACTGTATGGATCTTGTCTGTATAATAAATGATAGCCACCTCAGGATGGATTGTAGTGTGCTTAACTAATCTTCTGTACAATAGTCGGTTATTGTATTATACTGAATGATAGAATTAAATTCTAAAAGCTACATTGAAAATTAAGAAGAGTTAGTTTATGCACTTTTCAAACAAATACCCACAACTTCAATAAATATAATTTAGAAAAAAGGTATTTGTTCAATTTTTTAAAGTGGCATTTAGAGGTTTGTGTTGTGCAGATTGTACTATTGTACTATTCTATCTGTGGAGGACTAACAAAGTTTAACCATCAACAGTGCAAATTCATGAACCTGAACAATTCTTCAAATTCCTAAGTGCCAGTTTAAGTATTGTGGATAAGTAAGCCTGTTGACAATGAGTTGGGCTATGATAAATGAAATCTACCTCTGTTTCACTCTGGAAAACAACTACATTTTACATTCTTGTTTAGAAATACGTGTCAGATAAACCATGAAGATTTTTTTTCTTTTTACATTGTCATTTCCCTTCTGTTTAATTGTGTATTTTTTCTAGGAAAGAATAAACCCTCTGCTGAAGGCCCCTCATGTAGCTAGTTTTTAATATCTTTGACACTTCTCAAATGTTCCTTTGTGTTCCTCAAAAAAATACCTGGTAGCACTTTTTCCATCTAACAAGTTTTATTAAAAGGCACACACGTTTTGTAAACCGCAGTTCACTTCATCAGAGGACAAACATGTGTCTTTTAATACAAATTTTCAGCTAGAAAAGGTGCTGACTGATTCCTCCTTATCTTTGACTGCCGTAGACTCACACAGTTCTCCTACAGTGACTGGAACTAGCATTATCTCTCACATTGCTGAGGTGATGTTACAAGAAGGCGTACTGAAGCGACACCTTATTTTTTGTGACTGGTGTTTAGGTGTGGTGAATTATGTGCCGAGTGCCACACCTCACTCTTTAAAGTATGTTGCTTACGTCAGTAAGGTTCGAGTTAAATGGTAGAATAAATTCCCAAACTCAAAGCAGGAAGTAAGATTTGAATACTCTCTTGATAATTCTTGAAGGTTAACTTTTTATATTAATTTTGGATTGCAGGTGGATCCATGTCAGAGTTTCAGAGCTCGTGGGAATTATATCAACAGAGTATCCCAGATGATCTGGATGTCGGTAAAGTATCCCAGATGATCTGGATGTCACTTTTTTGCAAAAATGTTTCTGTGAAGTAAAATAAGATACTGTTTTTGCCAGAGAGGAAAAATATTATGTATTTGAAATTATGTTGTTTCAGCCATTCTGAAAAGCCTGCTCAATGATCCTTTTTGAACAGCCTAGTTTCTTGCATGTATTTTCTTGGTATTGGAATCTGCAGTTGATGTAGGGCTGGTTTTGAATGAAATGTGATTATCTTTCAACTGTGGCCAACTTTTTTTTTAAAGTACAACTTTATTTTGGCAACTTTTCAATTACTTAAGTCAGGGGTGTCAAACTGCTGGCCTGCGGGCCGGATGCATCATGGCGAAGCCGCACCCACCCCATTGCCAGCAATGGGAAAAAAAGTCACGCCATGTCACATGACATTGCGAGTTTGACACCCCTGACAAGTGTGTGTGTGAGTCAAAGATAGAGTTCTGAATTAGGATAATAATTTCTGATCTCACCTCTGCTATAAGCTCACCAAGCTTATGGATCTCTCTTTTTTATGAAGTCAGTCTTTCACTTGCAAAATGAAGATAGTAGATCAGTGATGGCAAACCTTTTAGAGACCGAGTGCCCAAACTGCAACCCAAAACTCACTTATGCATCGTTGGGTGCCGGGTGGGTGTGGCCCATTGGGTGGGCATGGCTTCAGTAGCAACGGCAGACTGGGTGGAACTAAAAAGTTCAATCAATCAATTCCAGCTTTGCAAGATCTTTTTTTTCCCCACGAGAAGTTGAAATTGACTGATTGATTGAACCTCTTTTTTTTTTTTTTTTTTTTGCACACAGCGGCAGAGGCCTAAAGCGAAAAGGTTTTATAAAACCCAGCTGAAGGCCTAGGACTGGGGCGATGGCGTGCGTGCCCACAGAGAGGGCTCTGAGTGCCCCCTCTGGCACCCGTGCCATAGGTTCGCCACCACTGTAGTAGATGGTTTTCTGCTTCTTTGATCTGTTGTCTTCTTATAATAGCAAAAATGCTTTTAAAACTCACTTATTTCTATTATAAAATACTAAGAAAGCACTATTGTTACATATGTCCACATACTGGATATTGTTAGCTATATTTTTCCTCTTGTACTTCATGACATTTATGGTGGAACACAGTTTGGATGTTAGAGTGTGTGTGTGCTGATGCAATGCAACCATGGAAATGGGGGAAATTGAGAGGTTGATGGAGACAAGAGTTGTGAAGCCTAGCTTCATCAACAGAAAATGCTTATTGATCATTTCTCTTTGTCTCAGTGAATGCCCTCCTCTGATGTGGTAAAGAAGATAGTCTTTCACCCAAAGAGAGATAATGAACCACAATTATGATGGTTTTTCCTCCACGGATTGTTTTCAGCAGAGGATTCCTTAGTCTACTCACAATGTAGGATCATGAATTTTCCAGAGTCCTAACTAGCACCAAACACTTTCCATGAAAAAGAGAAGACTGTCCTCTGCAGAGTCACTCTGCACATGGAGAGTAGTGGTAGAGAGGGCGGAGCTAACATCTTCTCCTTTTGGATAAGAGCCTGTATGTTCCTGACGGTTTCAGCTATAATGCAATGGCTACAGTAAATGTAGTAAAGTGGTTGCTTTCAGCTCTCCTTCATTTGGAATTCTTTAGTCCCAACAGATGTGTGGTATGCCAGGCTAACAAAGATAATCTGAGCCCTTGGGCTAGAATAAGCTGTAAAACATGGGTGTCCAGCCTTTCGGCTTGCTGTGGGCCGCATTGAGTGAAGAGGAATTGCCTTGGGCTGCATATAAAATATATAAAATAGTTGATATAAATCATATAATCATGTTAAAAGTTTACGATATTGCGGGGCCAAATTACTAGCTGTCCAGGACTGCATGCTATAAACCTTGCTATACAGAACAGCATTGAGTAGTGATTCTAGCATAGCCCTAATGCATAGTGTAATTGAAACCATGAACATTGGGCTAGCTGATATCAGCTGAAATGATTAATTGTATTAAATTAATAATTTTTTTTCAAAGTTGTAGAGAATCAGTTATTCTTAATTTGCCTAATAGTCATCCATGGCTGTATTCAAGTTCTTTACAAACATGTTGAACCAAGGGGATACCGCTCATTCTTTGTATATATTCTTTTCATAGATGTTATTCACTGCTCTCTAGACATAGTTTCAGTGTTAAGAAAAATCCAATCAAGACTGAGTTACTAAAAATATTAAATATTAACAGCACCTTACGACACTTCTGGGAAAGGTAGTTGAGAGGGTAATTGCACAGCAACTTCAGAGGACCTTGAATGAACCTGGGTTTGGTGAGAAACAGCATTAGTCCTGCTTTCAGATGATCTCTGATGAGAGTGGGATACGGGCTGTGTACCCATCCTTGCCTGACTTGATCTCTCTGCAGCTTTCAATACCATCAATTATGGTATCTTTCCAGATGAGTTCAGGGATTGGGGATGGGCACCACTGTTTTGTGCTAGTGCACCTCCTTTCTCCAAGTTCATTCCAGTCAGTGGTGATTGAGGGGGAGAGATTCTGCCCCTGGCCCCTACTACGTGGGGTGCCACAGTTTTCAATGCTCTCTCTGCTCCTATTCAACATCTACATGAGGCAATTGGGTGAGGTATTATCAATAGGCTGATGATACCCAATTATACATCTGTGCCCCAGGCGAATTATGTGATGCGGTGGACATTTTATCTTGGTGTCTGAAAGCTGTGAGGGTCTGGATGGGAAACTGCAGGCTTCAGCTGAACCCTAGCAAAGGTCTCGTCTCACAGGAAGCTACACTTTGGAGCTCAAGGAAGCGGCCTTCTCTGCCATAGCGCCCACCTTTCCTTGCAGTTCTGTTTCCTTTTTATGTGAACGCTCACAGTATGAAAAAGAAATTATTTTCACTCTTTCTTTGTTTGAAACACCCCTTTCCCCCCAAATTTGATACGAATAGTGGAACTATACTATAGCATGAGATCTTCTCTTGAAAATGTATCTAGAAATGCCTTAGTTCTGCAACATTTTACTTCCTGTAATTCAGCCATTTATATGAAGATGAGCAGACAAAATAGAACTTGTTGAAGGATCCGTTTTTAGCACTCTGAAAGTTGAGAATGTGTTTGTCAAGACTTGTACATTTTGAATGAAACGTGTTACTATGCTTGGGGAAATATTCATAACCAGAATGATAATGGGATGAGGGAACTAGTTGCTGGCTTTTATATATTTTATATGTACTCTTACTATATTACTCAGAGTGTATTTACTTTAAGTATATTACCTCAGAAATTACTACGATGAAGTTAGTAACCTTTACATTTTCTCTATCATAGAAATGGAGCCGATGGCGCCGTGTCCAACCTTTACTGATACAGCCACCGACTTTGACAGGAACATTCCCCGGATCTGCGGTGTTTGTGGAGACAAAGCTACCGGCTTTCATTTTAACGCTATGACCTGTGAAGGCTGCAAAGGATTTTTTAGGTATGTGGTTCTTCACTTAAACTACTACACTTTGGTCCGTGGTTTAGGTTTTATTGGACCAGCAGTTTCTTTTTGCCATCAAAAACTGGTCAAAAAAAGATTATTTATCTTATTCTTTTTTTAAAAAAGCATCTTTAAAGGAACCCAACTTACATATTTAGATGTAAGGAAGGAAAAGAGCATATTAATTGTTTTGCCTCCAATAGGGTGGCTAGATTTTAGGTAGTAAACTATTTGATTGGAACTTCAAACTGAGCTTACTCTATAATGTTTCATGGATATAAAATTTGCTATCACTGGACTAAGTTGGCACAGTGGGAATGTTTGAATCATGTTTTGAATTGAACAGAATGGAGAATATAAATTCCATTAGGCATCTGTAAAAAATATGGAGGAGCAAAACAGAAAGTAGGAATTGGAATTTGTTTGGTATAGGACAGTGGTGGTGAACCTATGGCACAGATGCTAGAGGCGGTACTCAGAGCCCTCTCTGTGGGCATGCGTGCCGTCCCCCCATTCCTACAGCTGGGTTTTATAAAACCTTTTCGCTTTAGGCCTGTTGCCGTGTGCAAAAAAAAAAAAGGTTCAATCAATCAGTCAATTTCAACTTCTCGCAGGAAAAAAAAAGATCTTGCAAAGTTGGAATTGATTAATTGAACTATTTAGTCCCACCCAGTCTGCCCTTACCACCGCAGCCATGCTCACCCAATGGGCCACACCCTTCCAATTGGCCACACCCAGCCAATGGGCCACACCCACCCGGCACCCGACGATGCATAAGTGGGTTTTGGGTTGCAGTTTGGGCACTCGGTCTCTAAAAGGTTCACCATCACTGGTATAGGATAAACAGAATCAGGATTGTTGCAAAAGGTGAAATTGTTCAGAGTTAAATAATTTAAACCAGAGGTCCCCAAACATTTGGGCACTGGGGTCCGGTTCTGTGGAGAGAGGTTTTTCCACGGACTGGAGGGGGGGCGTTGTTTTGTGTGCTGCCTGCATCCCATGCATGGGGCTTTGCTTGTTTGTGCGGACCGGTTGCTGGTATGCCACGGCCTGGTACTGGTATTCGGACTACGGGGTTGGGGTCCCCTGATTTAAACCACTGTTTCTTCCTTTTGCAGAATGTGGAAGTACAGTCTATTTTTTTATTGAAATAGATAACTGGCCTCAACATGACTAACTGTTATTGGGGATGTTTTCATTTAGTTCATATAGGAACTAATTTTTTTCTTGTTCCCAGGATTGTTTCCATCTCTATACAATAGTTTTCTTACTTGCTTGCAAATGCACTTTGTCAATAAATATATATGCAGTCCTGGGAAGAGGAAATAAGAAAGCAGTTAACTTTTCATCACCTAATTTAACTCTGGTTAAGAGGAAAGTAGCATTTCATAGGCACTAGCCAAGAGTATTCCAAAACATTCATCAGCTTAGCATATTTCATGCATGAAAAGCTTAGCTCTCATGGAGTACTTTTTCTATAATGACGACATTTGAGGTGGTTCTGGGAAGCATTGGTTTAAGGTGGATGAGTAATAGCTATACATCAAAAGCCAAAACATGACTAATGAAGGGAAATCTTACATGTATTTTGACCACAACTGGAAGGTAGGAATACTATTGATAAGGGGTTTACATAAACATTAGGCTGGAATTCTAAAGGGCATTTTTTTACTTAATGTGTGTGTTTCCCCCCCCTCCCCCCACATTTTTGTAGGAAACATATTAACTTTGCAAAATAGAGGATTAGATAAAATGTTCTGCGTACCATAGACATCATAGCCAGATTTCCAGTCAGGCTACAGTATACTTGGCTAACCAGAACTGCAACATATTCTTCAATTGCAGTTGCTTAAGAGAGTAATTTGTTTGTCAGAGGTGAATTTCCCACATGGTGCCCTTGGCTAATCAATCATGCACTGTCTGTCCTAGACATAAAATATATTAGGTTAAGTTTTTCCTTCTGTTAATGACACATTAGCGGAGAGAACTGGTAGATATTTGGGAAGGCAATGAGTATTTCATTCCCTCTAACATGTTGTCAGAATGTAACTGAAACAATTCTTTAAGAGGTATTCTAGAAATCATAACTAATTATTTGATTAAGGAATACCTTTAAGTTTGTAGCTCATTGTTTTCCCAAAGTATGGCAGCTAAGAAAGAGTACCTTTCTAAAATAAAAACTGAAGATGTATCACTAGCAGTGTCTGGACCCCAAAAGAGGTAAACAAGATCCAAACTGTTGTATGCTGAATTCTTGGAGCACTGAACAATGGACAGTTTTCTCTCCAGGAGTACCTTTGCCCAGCTTTGTCACCATACATGTAATTGTTATCTCTCATAACTTTAAAGTTTTAAAAGCTTGTCATGGCAGTTTTACTTGTTTTCTTTACCTTACCATTACTCTACTTTGATCTAACGGGAAAGGCATCAGGCTAGAAAGTGGGAGACTGCGAGTTCAAATCCCTCCTTAGGAAACAAGGAATGTTGGATAGGTTTGCCATCTTGAGTTATTTGTAAAAATAATAAAGGTGGAATGCAAACAAACAAACAACTAAAGAATTACTTTGGGTTAATTATCTCTGATTTCCACTATTACTGTTATTCTGCATCAACTACTGTTTCTTGTTGGTAATCCTGCACATATAAGGAACTCCTGTAATGCTTTTTGCGGATTTTCTGAATTGCGATCCAGGTACTATAAGCACAGATGCCCCTGGCAAGCCAAGTAGCTGGCCTGTCTCCATTTCCCCAACCTGGGAGCTGGCCATGTGAAATATTGGTTTAGGCCGACGTTCCTGAAATGGATGATAGGAAATAAATGTACCTGATACTCACCACCTATAATGGGATGGATATTGTCCTCAGACTATTAGGTGCCTAAGGTAAGCATGGAATGATATGAAAGAGGACGAAAGATGTTGAAAATAGATTATAAAAAAACTGAAGACAATGAGCAGAGCAGGTGAAAACAGCAATCAAAATAATGAAGGAATGGAATATATAAAATGAAGTGAGAGAAAGTCTTAAATGTCTGAATGGCTGCGCTTGCAGATTTTGCTATATTTTAAAACGTTTAATCAGATATTAGGCGTGTTTTGAATTAGATAAATAATCTTAATTCCCATGTTAGGAATAAGAGACGGTGCTGCTAGACCTTATGTAGTCTACCTTCTTTTTTACCTGAGGGCTAGATAAAGTATAGAGCATCATTGAAACAAAATTATTGCTGAACATAGTGTTCTTTTAAAGAATTTTCTCTCTTCCCATTTAATAAATAGCATAATTCAAGCTACAATGTGATATTATTGGGACTAACATTTCTGTTAGCTGGTGATTTGGGGAAGAGAGACTTCCAAATAATGCAATATTACAATTTTACAACCATTTGTTTAGTGACCATTCAAAGTTGCAATGGCACTGAAAAAAGTGACGTATCACCATTTTTCACACTTATAACCGTTGCAGCATCTCCCCGGTCATGTGATCAAAATTCAGACGCTTGGCATGTATTTAGGATGATCGCCATATCTCAGAGTCATGTGACATCCCTTTGTGACTTTCTGACAATGGGGAAGCCAGATTCACTTAACATCTGTGTTACTAACTTAACAACTGCAGTGATCCACTTAACAATTGTGGCTGGAAAGGTCATAAAATGGGGCAAAACTCACTGTCTTGCTTAGCAACAGAAATTTTGGGCTCAACTGTGGTCGCAAGCTGAGGATTACCTGAATAGTGGGGGTATCAGGAAGAGAGGAGAAGTAGTCATATAACTGCTACACTGTCTTGAAACTTTTAGTTCTGGCTCATAAACATGGCAGAGCAATGACAGCCGTATTTCTGAAATTTATGCACTAAAGGAATGTATAAATCGCTGTGGCTGAGATAGTAATAGCTGCAGGAACATCAGTGGTACAAGTGATGGAAGCCTGAATATATCAGAAACAATACGTGACCTTGAAGTAAAAGACTTATTATCTTGATGGAAACTTGCAAGGCATATTTTGATGGAAACTTTCAATAGGCTGTTTCAAAGCAACAGTAATAATAGCCTGATAGTCAAAGAGGATGTTAAAAACAAGATGCCTGCCAAGGGCCTGCCTACCCTCTGGACATTTTCCTCTCCTCAGCACGAGTTTAAAAATGATAGCCAATTACCTTGCCCTTCATCCTATTTGTGAAGGACTATAAGAAATGCACATCTTAGCAAAGAAGACTAATTGCTGCTCAGGCATGTGAATTCTAAACTAGAACTTTGCTCCATAAACATCAGGCCCCTCGTAATAAATCCTTTAGATATCCTGTAAAACTGATGTTTAGGCAATTTGTTGTTTCTGTTCTATGGGGAAATAGTTAAAATCATTTTAATCTTTGGACAGGTTATATTAGATTCCCTCCTTCATTCTGATAACCTTTGACATCTCTTGTGATTGGTGATAGGGTCAAGGCACTGGGCTAACTTGTTTTTTTACATCAGATTG